GAGCTCAGCTTCCCTTTTATTACCATAGTTCATTGTGTAGTCCTCCTTCTTCCCCTCCCCTTTAACTACCCACTTAAAAAAATAGCTGTGTAATATAGTCTGAGATCTTGTATGGTGATCACCTAGAATTGTTGTTTTTGCCCAAGACTGCTTTGACTATCCAGGGACTTTTGTGATTCCATGTGAATTTTAGGATTTCTTTTTTTCTAGCTCTTTGAAGAATGTTGTGGTTATTTTGATTGGCATTGCATTGAATCTGTAGATTGCTTTTGGTAAGATGGTCATTTTCACAATATTAATTCCTACCAGTCCATGAACATGGCAGTTCCTTCCATCTTCTGGTTTCTTTATCTCTTTCCTTAAAGATTTAAATTTTTGTTGTAGATATCTTTAATGTTTTTCATTAGGTATAGTTCTAAATATTTTATTTTTTGAGGCTGTTTTCGATGGGAGGGTTTCCTTGAATGCTTTTTCTGATTACTTGTTATTGGTATACAGAAAGTTTTAAGTTGACTTCGTATCCTGCCACTTTTCTAAAAGTGTTAATCATTTCTAGCAGTTTTCTGGTGAAATTTTTGGGATCTCATATATAATATCATATTGTCTGCAAACAATGATAATTTGGCCTCTTCTTTTCCAATTAGTACTTCCTTATTATCCTTCTGTCAAATGGCTCTAAGAAACAATATGGATTGTAATTCTAGTATCTGACATGGTAGATTTCAATCTAGAACCTATTAGAAGAGATAAAGAGGGCCACTGCATTATGATAAAAAATTGACCAAAGGATATTAAAATCATGAACATATATGCACCAAACTCTGGTGAACCCAATTTCATAAAAAAGGTACTACAGGACTTTAAGACCCAGACTAACCCCAACTCAGTAATCATAGGGGACTTCAATACCCCATCATCTCTAATGGACACTTTAAGCTAGTGTCTAATCTTGAACGTGTGATGGTTTTCTTACAGACAATAAAAAGATGGATTTTGCTTCTTAATCCATTCAGCTAGCCTTGTGTCTTTTGACTGGGGAGTTTAGGCCATTGTTATCTAAAACTATTATTGAAAGATATGTGGTTACCGTATTTTAATTTCTGTTTGCATTCTTGGTCTTATTTTCTGTTTCCACAGTTATCCTTTCATTGATCTTCTTTCTGTTGCCTCTTGGGCATAGAGGAAAGTCATTCCTTTCTTTATTCCTTTGCATTGTTTCAAGTATTCTCTATAGGAGTGCTTTGTGGACATGAATTCTTTCAGTCTACTCATGTCACGGAAGATTTTTCTTTCCCCTTCAACTATAATAGACACTTTTTCTGGGTAAGTTATTTTGGTTTGGCATCTGTGGTATTTAGAACTAGGAATACTTTGGACCAGGCTCTTCTGGATTTCATAGTTCACATTGAAAAGTCACCAGTATGTCTTTCTTTGTAGGTGACTTGATTTTCTTTTGTACCTTTTAGTATTCTCTCTTTATTTTGTACTTTTAATGTTTTTACCATGATATGCTATGGGGACTTTCTTTTCTGGTCCCATGTATTTGCTGTTCTGTGCGCTTCTTGTATTTTTATGAGTATATTTTTCCTTAATTTTTAGAATTTTTTTCTATAATCCTTTTGAGGATTTGGGCAATGCCATTTACCTCAGACTCTTCTCCTCCTCTGTGCCTGTGATGTGTAAATTTGGTCTGTTCATTGTGTTCCATATTTCCTGCATATTCCATTCCTATTATAAATTTTTTTTTGTGTGTCCACTTCTTTTACTTGAGCAGTCCGGTTCTTCAATTTCATCATCCAGTCTTGATATCTTGTTTTCCAGTTCATTCATTCTATTGGTGAGACTTCCTTCTGTCATTTTAAATTGGCTTATTGAGTTTTTCACTTCATTCTTTGTTTCAGCCTTAGTTTTTTTCAATAATAATATCTCTTTTGTGCATTCATTCAGAAGTTTATCCCTATCTTCTTTTAGTTCTTTGTGTTGTTTGCATGTTCTTTAAATTTGTTGAATTCTTTGATCAGGTTTTGATTGTTCTTTTAAATTTTGTGTCCCAGGTTATCTCTAGGGTATTCTCATTGTAGAGAAATGTTTTAAAGGACTTGTGGTGTTTGGTGGAAACATTATTTTGGGTTTTCATATTATTTTTTCATTGTGGTTTTGGCACATGGATTTCTTTTGTTGCTTATGATTCTGGTAGAAAACTGAAGCCTTCCTTTGTTGAGTCAGTGTCTGTTCTGTTTGTATTACTGATGTACCTTGGTTGCTTTCTGGTTGGGTATAAAAAACTAAGGTCTGGGCCCTTACTGTAGGGCAGAGAAGCAGAGAAGTCTAGCCCTGGCAAAGTGGGAGGGGCCTCATGTGATCCCAGTTAGGGGTTTGGGCATGGTGAGTTTTGGGGAAGCTTACCACCAGGCAGAGTCAGGATCCAGGTACTCTCAAGTGTTCTGCCAAGGTCTGGGCCCCTGCTGTAGGGTAGCGAGGTCTCCCATGGTGAAGTGGAAGGGGCCTCATGTAGTCCCAGTTAGGGGGTTGGGCATGGTGAGATTTGGAAATGCTTACCCCCAGACCAGGCTGGATCCAGGCACTTTTAGGTGGTCTGCTAATGTCTCAGCCCCTACTGTAGGGCAGGGAGATTTTGGGAAGCTCACCACCACCACAGGGAGTCCTGATCTAGGTACTCTCAGGTAGTCTGCTGAGGTCTGGGCCCCTACTATAAGGCAGAGAGTTCTAGCCCTGGAGAAATGAGAGGGGGTCTCACATTGTCCCAATTGGGGGATTGGGCAGGGTATGATTTGGGGAATCCTATACTTTCAGGCCATCTGCTAAGGTCTCAGCCTTTTTTTTTTTTTTCCCTTGTGGGGGTGGGGAGACAGGGTCTTATCATATAACTCTAGATAGTGTAGACCAGGCTGGCCTTGAGCTCACAGAGATCTGCCTGACTCTGCTTCCCCCTCTACTGCTGCGATTAAAGGGATTGCACCAGCATGCCTTACTCTGTAAAGGATCATTTCAGTCAACCCCCTTCTGTGTTTATACTGTGGTATTATCCTATGGCATTTGTTGGCACAGTTTCAGTATACTATTAGGTTTAATTTAACCTTGTTCAAGTTGTTGAAAAGGTAATACAGGCAAGTTAGTAAGTAATTTAATATGACGATATATGCTTTATAATTGTGGGAAGGAAACAAAGTGTAAAGACAGCCTGAATTCTAATTCTGTGTTAAGAATTAGTGATTAAGCTAGATACTTAGATCAGATACACTGAAGAGTCAGTACATATTCATGCTCAGTTTTTGAGAGTAGTATTTATAACACTTTCTGCGTTTGTTTACTGAGGACTTTTGTTATTAAGGTTTTACTTTCACTTTTAAGGAATTGAGAATTCAATTGACAATGTCATGATGTTAGACCTAATTAATGCCTTAAAGGTTACTAGCCTAGCGTGTGATTTTTCAGATAAAGGAACCCATGTATGGTGGCTTGAATGAGAAATACCCCACATAGGTCCAAGTATTTGAGTACATGGCTATAGTTGCTGGTGCTGTTTGCAGAGATTTAGGAGGTTTAACCTTGCTGGAGCAATTATGTCACTGGGGTTAGATGTGAAAGTTTATAGTCTTGCCTGTTTCCAGTTTGTCCTGCTTCCTGCCCTTGCTTGAAGATATAAGCTCTCAACTTTATGGAGTTAGTTCTCTCTTTCCACTTTTATATGCCTTTGTCCTCTGAGCTACTGTCCCTTCCCCTTTAGCACATAGATGAATGATTATATACTGTAGGTGGTCGGTAAATTTTGCCAAGTGAAAAAAAATGAGTGAATGAATGAATACAATTAAGTTGTATTGATTTGTAATTAAAAACTTTAACTGTTAATGGTGTTTTTTTTTTTTTTTTTTTTTTTTTTTTTTTTTTTTTTTTTTTTTTTTTTTTTTTTTTTTTTTTAAAAACACTGCTGTGGAATGTATAGTATTGTAATATTATGTTGTCAAGAATAATTGAAATGCTGTTCCTTATATGAAACAATTGCAATTTATTCCATTCTTTTGGCAATTTTCATGTCCTGTCATTTAGTTGAAGACTAAAATTGATTGTCCCTGTCAGACTATATTCTTCTTATGAATAGCCAGTGCTGCTGTAGCTTGTGAGGCCCTGAATTTAAAACCTAGCACAGTAAGCAAAGTAAGAGAATGAATTTCTTCCATTGTCACTTTCTATCTGTATATATAATAAAATTTTTATTTGAGATCCAGGCATTGTGATACATGTCTATAATCCCAGGACTTAGGAGGCATTAGCAGGCAGATCTCTGTGAGATGGAGGCCAGCTTGGTCTATGTGGCGAGTTTCAGGTCAGCAGGGGCTCCAGGGAGGCCCTGTCTCAACCCCCCCCAAACCACCCCCTCCAATTTTTTTTTACTTGATTTACAAAGAAAAGAATAGGTTGAGCTTTGTATTCTAGCTAATTATTTCTTATAAATAATTAACGAAAACATTAAATAAGATATTTAATTAACACTAATTTTTAAATCTATACAACTTAGTATAACTGAATTAATTGCTTATACATCTCTTTGAAGGCCTAGTGCATATAGTCTTGGTGATACAGCAGTAAACAGAAATCCCTGTATGTATGCTATCATTTCTAGTGTTTCCCTACAGATGCTACCTGTCATGTTCCCAGAGGACAGATCCTGATATCTGTAATTCTAAAAAAATGTTCTTAGATGATTCTGATACTCATCCAATACTGGTCTTGGGTACAAGAAGTATCTCTCTTAGTCCTGACCACATGACTTATGGTCTCCTGGTCTTGAGTCATTTCCTCCAGTACACAAAGAACTGTTTGCATACATGAAATTGGGTCACAATGGAATAGCATATTAAAAAGCTACACTTGATGTTATCATAGTTTATGATATGTCACAAACTGTAGGTTATGTGCCACTTACCTCCTTGGTAGTATATTTAACTTAGTGATTGGCTAATGCATTATATGACTTGCAGGTCAGAAGTTTCTTGTATCCAAATAATGACACCATTTCTCTGGTATCTGTATTGTGAACCATCCCAGTTACAAGAATATGCTAAACTTCGACTATCCCTCCTGAAAGTTTTACTTCAACCCAGAGTTCTTTGTAACAAAACACTACCATCAATATTGGAACAACACATACTTCAGCTGTTTTGTGACATGGTTCCATGTTTGCAGGTAAGGTCCTTTTTCTTTCTTTAATGTTAGTATCAGTTCTAATAATGTTGATTATTGTTAATATACGTAAAGCAGTCCTTGATCCTATGTGATTTGGCAAACTTAGAGACCATCTTGGTTCTGGAAATGCTTGTAATCTTTTGAAGAAGATAAAGGAATCAAATCTAGATTTAACAATATATACTATGCTAACTAAATTAATAGTAGTATAAATCAATACTATCCATTGTGGTATTAGTAGAAATAAAAACTAAGACTCATCAGGGAAGATATTCTGCATTTGACGTTCTTTTTGTGCTGGATACTGGGAGGGGTGTAATAAAAACACCTCTGCAAATTTAAACAAATAACGTGTCTCTGAGAAGTTATACTTTGAGATTAGAAAGCTTGGCCCACTGAGCGCTACATTTTTGTTTCTACCTCTCTCTTTATGATCTCTTGATGACCCTCATGGATCTTGATCTTTGGAAGCCCCACTCTACAGTAAATGAGTTATGGTAGGTATATCAGTTCTTATAATGCAAAGTAGATGGATGGAAAATGGTATGTATAGAGATACAGGTAAAGTGCTAAGGGAACTCTGGGTAGAGAGAATTCAAGTTAATATTTCTACAACTGCAGATTAAAAACTATCCAGTTGCCATTGTGTTGTGATTTCTGTGTAGTGGTTCATTTGTCAGGCTATCCCATCTCATGCTCAAGATTAGAACATTTGCTGGGATCTGAGCACCATGCTGCTCAACTGATGGAGGAAATCTATGAATATTTTTCAAAGTGATCACTTTAGGTCACAGATAACCTGCTTTAAGTTTGTGTTAGCAAGGAATGACTAGAGTGAATCCTTCCTTTGTGACTCATAAATATGCTTTCCTATAATCAAGGCAAATAAAAGTTAATTAAAATGAATTGTCCAATGACTTCTCCAAAGCTTTTGATTTGCATGGGCAATAAAGCAATATATATATATGCAGAACATCTTGAACTAGGGCACATTTTCCTCTAGCTTGTCCATATTACCATGTTCTGTATCTTCCAGAAAAGCTTAGATGCTTGTAGAAATACAGTCAATGAGGTGTTTTTCAGAATCTTTATGTTTTTCCTGTAACTTAGATATGTGAGAATAAAGAGGGGGGGCATCATTAGGAACTGGTGGAATGAATAAGTGATATAAGTGCACTTACTCATTTAACAGATCAGTTTTATTTAAAAAAAAATCTGAGATTCTTTCTTAGAGGCAGCATAATCTAGTTTCCTACTTCTGACAGGTATTTCTTAGATTCCTTAAAAGAGGACCATGCAAAGTAACTGAATACTTAAATATATGTTTTTATTAACTATAGAATCTCATGCAATATATTTTGGTCATATTCAGACCTCCTCCCTTATTCTCTTCTATTTCCTGCAAACCCTTCTGCCCCCATTTTTATGTTCTTTATTATTTGGCTTTTTAAAGGAAAGGGCTATTAAGTCTAATCTGTGTTTCCTAAATACTCTTGGGTGTGGGTCTCTCCCTTGGAATTTGGTCAGCCTACCAAGTGTTAGATCAGTAAGGAAAACTCTCCGTCTTCCAGCATCTGTAAATTTCCTTAGGTAGGGCTGGGGCTTCCTGCCACTCCCACCATCCATGTTGGGCCTCCCTCCTTTCTGTCTTTTTGTCATCACTTTTTTTTTTTTTATTGAGCTTTAAAAATTTCATACAACATTTCTCACTCCAGACCCCCTCCCCCATCCATGCTTCCCTCTATCCCCCCAGTGAACCCTATGCACTCTGTCATACATGCTGAGTCCTATTCATTCAGGTGTTTGTACCCAAATGTCCTTCAGTGTAAATGAGTCCCTTGGAGTCTAGTCAGCCCAATCCAGTGGTCATATGTAAGTCATACTCTCCCTTGCACAGTAGCAATCAGTCTCAAATAGTTTTCAATCTAGTACTGGCCTGCCACCTATTTCTCACCTCCCCTTTGGGCCCTTGTTTAATTGAACTGATAGAGGTCCCATGCTTGATGCCACCACTGCCACAGGCTCACATGAGCAAGCCTCCAGTGACCTAGAAGCCTCCACCTTCCTGTGTTCATGAACCAGAAGTATTTCCTTTGTGCCAGACCAGATGTTTAACTCTGCAGTGGCCTCCATCTGTTGTTAAAAAGAAGCCTCTTTGATGTGTGCTATATGGCATGCTTGTTACTCTAGGGGAGGTCTCTTCTGTGTGGCACTGTGTTCCCTGCCAAGTGGCTCCCAGGTATACATATGCATTAATGTTCAGACACTCTATGTGCATTTCTCATAGGGTTTTTAGGTCATCACTTTTCCCTCTAGGTTTCCTAGCCCCACCGAGATTCACTCATCTCCACTCTTTTTTTCTCCTATCTGGCTTCCTTACCTCCTCCCTCCCTCCCTAGTCACAGGGCCCCCATTTTCCCCACCCTCCCCCTAGTACCTCCAGACTCCCTCCATCTTTCCTCTCCTGACCTCCCTCTCTCCCCCACACCATGGTCCCTTCATGTTCCTCCCTCCTCTCCTCTCTGCCAATTACTCCCCTTTTTCCACCTCCCTCAGGTACCATCTGTTCCTTACCATCCCCCTTTCAGGTTGTTTCTTTTCTCTTTACCTGGCTCCTGGTGTTAAATCAGAATTTATATACTTGCATATAAGGGATTGGTGCTACAGTCCACAAATGAGGGAGACCATACGTTGCCTGCTTTTCTGTGTTTGTGTTACTTCACTTGGTATAACTCACTCTAGCTCTGTTATAGTTTGTTTCTCAATTGCTGTGACAAAGTACTCTGACCAGTACCAACTTGGGGAGGAAAGGGTTTATTTTATATTACATCTCCTGGGTCACAGTTCATCAGAGAGCCCAAGGTATTGCCTGCTGTGAGGACCTAGTTTCTGCTTCTGCCAACAATAAAACCCCAGGAGAATCAGCCTGCTAGAGAACACCTTGTGTAATAGTTACTTTTCTGTTGCTATGATAGAAACACTGACCCAAGCAATTTATAGAAGGAAGCGCTTATTTGAGCTTACGGTTTCAGGGGAATTACAGTCTGTCATGACAGGGAGGCATGGTGGCTGGAGGTGGCTGGAGCAGGAGCAGCAGAAGCTAAGCTCTCACATTATCATGTAGGCACTGGAAGCAAGAGAGCAACTGGAGATCCGGCAAGGTTTAAGAACTCTCTAAGCCCACCCCCAGTGATGTGCTTCCTCCAGGATAGCCACACCTTCTAAAACTTTTCAAAACAGTGCCATCATCTGGAGACAAAGTGTCCAAATACTTGGAGCCTATGGGGGACATTTTCATTCAAACCACCACATTCCACCCCCTGGTCCCTGTAGGCTCATGACCATATAAAATGCAAAATGCATTTAGTCCAACTTTAAAAGTCCCCATAGTCATTATCAATCTCACTATTTCAAAGTCCACAGTCCCAAGTCTATTCTGAGACTCAGCAAAATATCTTAACTGTAAGTCCCTGTAAAATCAAAAGACAAATTACATACTCCCAACATACAGTGGAATCGAATACACATTACCATTCCAAAAGGGAGGAATGGAGGCATAATAAGGAAATACTGGACCAAACAAGACCAAAAACCAGCAGGACAAACACCAAATTCAGTAGCTCCTCATCCAACTTCTGGGACTTTACTTCCAAAGGGCTTAGATGGCTCAGCCTCTCCAGCTTTCCAGCGTGCAACACACATCTCTCTCTTGTGCTGATACCACTCCCTGTATGCAGGTCTTCTTGGGAGATGCCTCACAGCTTTGGCATCATGAACATCTTTTTGGGGTCTCCACTGCCAACCAGGCTTCACCGTCACAGCTTCATGCAATGGCCTATCAGGGCCTTCTCTATGCAGGGAACCCCTGCTGTGTGCTGCCTGGCCTCTGAGGCTCTCCGAAACCACGGAGGAAGAACTGATGACCCCTTCACTCTTCCATCTTTCATGCCTCTAGCCAGTACCAGGTGAAGACACTGCCAAGTTTGACTGCAAGTTTGGGGTGGACTCCAGCCTGCTTTATCCATTTTAGAAGCTTTTCTCTTCTGTGGCCCCTGCAGCATTTTCCTTTCACAAGTTGGAGGCTTAACTGGGTGTGGTCTTGCCCTGGAGGCATTCTCTTCATTGTTTAAGGGAGAATATCTTGGCCCCTCCTTAATCATTTTAATCTCATTAATCACTTTAATCTCCTTATGAATGTGATCCTCTCCATCACATGCCAGGCCTCCAACATTAATCTTCCTAGTGCTCTTTTTCAATCTATCCTGTACATTCTGTATTTCTTTCTGCCCCATTAGCTCTTTTTCAGTGTAGATCTACATAATATTCACCATTAACAGCCACACCACCATTTCTGTGTTATGTTGTCTTGAAATTTCTTCTGCCAGAGAAATTAGTCCATCGCTTTTCAACTTAGCCTCAGACAGGCTTTTAGGTCTAGTGCATACTCTAGCCAGACTCTTCGCCAAAATATCCCAAGTACTGCTTAAGTCCTTATTTCCTTCTGGAATTATATTGTTCTCAGCACTACTTTCTTTTGGGTGTTTACTAGACTGGCCTGTTAACTCTGCTTACAGCAAGCAACTGTTTTTCTAGCCCAAACTTCCAAAGTCTTCCACATTTCTTCTAAACCCCACATGGTCAGGTTCTTCACAGCCAACAGCCCACTCTCTGGTATCAATTACTGTATTAGTCACTTTTCTGTTGCTGTGATAGAAACACTTACTCAAGCAATTTATAGAAGGAAGAGTTTATTTGAGCTTACAGTTCCAGGGGAATTGCAGACCATCATGGCAGGGAGCCATGGTGGCTGGAGGTGGCTGGAGCAGGAGCAGCTCTCATATCATCACACAGGCACAGGAAGCAAGAGAGCAACTGGAGATCTGGCAAGGCTTAAGAACTCTCTAAGCCCATCTGCAGTGACATGCTTCCTCCAGGATAGCCACACCTTCTAAAACCTCCCCAAACAGCACCATCATCTGGGGACAAAATGTCCAAATACTTGGAGCCTATGGGGGACATTTTCATTCAAACCACCACACCCCTGCTCTGACTGCTTTCTTATGCAACACAGGCCCACCTGCTCAGGGGTAGCACCACCTACAGCCCATGTCACAAACAATGAAGAAGATGCCCCACAAACATGGCCACAGGCCAGTTTAATGGAGGCAATTACCCAATTGAGGCCCCCTCAACTCATGTGTGTCAAATTGACACTAAAGCTATCTAGCACAAGCTCCATCCATTTACCTGTAAATTTCATAATTTCATCTTTTCTTTTTCCTTTTTTTTTTTTCTTCTTATTTTTGAGACAGGATCTCCCTGTAGCTACAGCTGGCCTGGAACTTGCTATGTAGTCAAGGCTAGCCTCGAACTCATAGAGATCCTCCTGCTTCTGCCTACTGAGTGCTGGGATTAAAGACATGCACCACCATGCTTGGCAATTTCATCTTTTCTTACTGCAGAGTAGAACTCCATTGAGTAGATATACCAGTAGATCCAGTGGTCTTATGTAAGTCATACTCTCCCTCACCCAGCAGCAATCAGTCTCAAGTAGTTCTCTAGTGCTGGCCTGCTACCTATTTCTCATCTCCTCTTTGGACATTTGTTTAATTGAACTGACATGGGACCAGTGCTCTCTGTCTTTTTGTCATCACATTTTAAAAACATCTTCTTATGAGATGGCTTTGGGGTTTTTAATTGTCCTTTGCTTTAGTTTATTATTCTATTGTTATGAAGTGTTCTTTTCAGAGTAGAATGAAGTCCTATGGATATGGTGTTCATACTGAATATCAGGATATAAACACATTTATAAATTATGATGATGAATCTCAGCACTCAGGAGGAGGAGGCGGCAGGTGGATCTCTATGAGTTCAAGGCCAGCCTAGTCTATGTAGCAAGTTCCAGACCAGTTGTGGCTACAGGGATACTCTATCTCAAAAAGACCAAAAAAAGAAAAAAAGTAATTAGAGATTATATTAATAGAAATAGCCATTTATAATGAGAGGTTGCCAATGAAATGTCTTTATTTTTCTCTGCAGCATAAAGGTAGAATATAACTTTGAATTTATTAAGAATTTTGATAATGATAAAGACTAGAGAATTTTTGAAGCAAATCTACTGAGTTTGTCTTTTTTGAATGGAAAGTTTCTAGTATTCACAAAAATACACTTGAGGGAATATCAATACACATACCAAATATTAAATACACATCAAATGAAATATCAAATACACTTCAGCTTTTGTATCCAGTCCATCTTTTTTGAAGTAACCTCTGGACTATTTATAGCCAGTTCATCTCTTTTTTTTTTTTTTTTTTTAAGTAGGCCTTTGGACTATTTTACTCTATGTTCGTAGTAGAACAAAGTAGGGGCAGTACTCAGCAAGAGACTCTAGCCAACACTCCTGGTGACCTGAGTTTGATCCCCAGGATCTACCTGCAGAAGGAGAGAACCTATCCCAGCAAGTTGTCCTTTGACTGCCACATAAGCATGTGCGCACACAATTACATTAAATGTAATTTTTAAAAAGGAGCACAGTAATTTAGCTATTGGAATATTGACATTTTATTCATAAAGTATTTTTTGTGTGGTATCTTCATCTTTTTGGTTTTCCAGGAAATAATTTTTTCTCTGTATGTAACTTATAACTTAAAAAAATTAAAAATATTTTATGTATATGAGCGTGTTGCCTGTATTTATGTAAATGTACTCATACACCCGTGTCATTTATGCACAGCCCTTAGAAACCAGAAGAAGGTGTTGGATCCCCTGGAACTGGAGTTAGGGATGGTTGTTAGTCATCATGTGGGCGCTGGGCATTGAAGCTAGATCCTCTGGAAGTGCAGCCAGTGCTTTTAACTACTGAGCCATCTCTCCAGTTCCTGTAGTAACTTTTCTTGTGGATTTTTGATGCTAAGCAGTGGTGAAACTGGGTTTTCCTCTTGATGAACTTATAGCACAAGGCTCCTAATGAAGCAGATTGTTTATGATCTCTGGGAAATGCTAGGGTTCCTGTGAGAAGGACCATACCCTTAATATTGACTCCAGAATTTTCATCAGAACAGCTGGGTGTAAACTGAATTGGAATTTTAAAGGGCACCCAAGTCCCTCCAAACCTGTTAACCTATTGAGAAGACATCTTCCTTTTGAACATGTTTTTCTATTTCATTCTCCACTGTTGTAGAGAATGATGCTGTCAGTTAAGGCTTGTAGTAGAGGTACAGATTACTAAGGCATTAGAACAAAATGCTGACCCTTACTACCAGATTGACTTGTAGGACAATTTGGTTCAGCTTTTTTCCCCTTCACCTTGTAGACACTGCATGTAATTTGTCTTGAGACATCTTTTCTCATTAAATTTAGTAAAATAAAGAATTTGTTGTGGAGGGAGCATAGCTTAGTGGCAGAGCATTTAACTGAGGAATTTGTGCAAGCTAGAGTACTAAAAGCAGTAGAAAACTGTATTTTGGTTTGTGATAAAAGGAGAAAGCAGAGTTGTGCAGCTCAATTCCCACTGAATTTAAAATTTAAAAGGTTTAGAGAATGTTGTTTTGTTGAAAACGTCTTGTATAGCTTAAAATTATCCTGTAATTTTAAATGTATAATAACATCTTTAAACAGATGAAAGACCTGAATCAGACAACAGAGGTGATGCTGTTTATTGAGGAAGTATATCTGAGTCTTTTATGTCATCCTGTTTTCTGGAAAATTCAGCTTACCCAGCTAACCCTTCAGCTGTTGTGTGTCTGTGAAGTCAGCCTAAAGATAACTGGAGAATGTTCATCTTTAATTCAGCTTTTAGAGCACAGTGTTGAACTTCTGCAAGAGGTAAGGATAGTAGAAAATTCTAATGTGTCAATCTTTAAGAAATTGGGAGTTTGTGTTTTTATTGTATGTCAGAAGTGTTAAATCCATGGGTAAATCATACTACTAATGTACTACTACAAATATTATTTATTATAAAGTGAATTATTAAGTACTCTTGCATATCAGTTTAAAGACCTACCTTTTTTTCATTTGTTTTTATGGAATACAAGTATTGAACAATTGTTATATTCTAGAACTTATGAAATGCATAGGTGTAAAAAAACACACACACACCTTCTTAAGATATAGGCATGTAAATAAGTAATTTTAGGACAGTAAGGTATTTTTATAGGACTATATTTACATGGTAATGGGAATAATCCTAACACTTGGGAGACTGCTGTATGTTTGAGGCCAGGCTGAGATAATGAGTTTCAGACCAGTCTGGTTTACAGAGACCCTGCCTCAAAAAACAAAAATAAAAACAAAAAAGAAAAGAAGGAAGGGGGCAGTTAATTGGGGGCTAAGTTAAGGAAAGTAGGACATGAGATGAGATTGAAAGATAAAAAGGAGTTCGCTTGGCACAAGCCAGAGATTGGGCAGGGCATTCCCGCAGGAAGAATAGCATACACCTAAACACAGAGACACAACGAGGTATGCAGGTATGGCCTTTTCAGAGAACAGAGCATTGTTTTCATTTCTTGTCCCCAGAACTTCAGGAACCTCAGGTCAGTGTTCAGACATGGCCATGTGCAGGGACTATACACTTGCAACCATTCCTGAGAGTGACATAGAAATGGCATCCAGAAACCCCCACCAGAAAGATTTAAATCTTCTAAGGGAGTCCTGTGTCTCATGTTCTTGAGGAACATATGGTCTACCAAAAAGCAGAAGCCTGAGGAAGATACAAGCCAACAGTGAATGCATGTGCTGAGACTTTCAAAGCCCTTGAAAGCTCAGAGGGGTTAAATCTAAGATCCCAAAGGGTGTCAACTGTAAGCTCTGTTGACTTATATCCCCCACCTCAAGATTTGGAAATGTGTCAGGCCCACATTGCCAAGGTTTATAGATTCTGCTGACAAAAGGTTAAAGTCAAAACCAAGGTTCACTCCAGCTCTTGCTTCATCTCCAGACCAGGTATCCAAAGGTGTCCAGGCCTGTGTGAGGCCCTATAATAAAGCTTTTGACTGTCAGTGCAAGGAGAAAGATGGACTGATGTGACATTTCTACCCCCAGATGCTGTCTGAATGCATCAGTGTTCTTTGCTCTATTTCTGTAAATAAACCTCAAGCAGGAAAGGAAGGGGAAGGGGAAGAAGGGGAAATTTATTTTGAGCACTATTAAAGGCTCAAAGTAAAGAAGGTAAGTTGAGCCTAGTTTCCTTGCTTTTTAAATAAGTGAGTTTTTCTGTGTCATCTACGCAGCGGCTTGCTGATGGAGCTTTTTCCTCAGATAGGTTCTTCAGTTTTGTGTGTGGAAGATCATTCTGGTGGGGAATAGAGGAGAGTTTTAGATAGGGCAGTACCCTGTACTGTGAGGAGGGTGACTAAGTGAGGTCTGCTATAGTCAGGGTGGCTTGAAAAATATAAGCTTGTTTCCCACTGGGGCTGAGAAGTTCAAGAGCAGTGTGCTGGTCAATTAGATTCCTTCTGAGGGCTCTTTCCCTGACTTGTGGATGCTGCCACCTTTCTGTGTGAGAAAATACTCATATATCACTCTATTGGATATTACATTCCCATTAACATACTATGTTACTTCATATGTTACAATATTACTTTACACACATTATATATACATTATAGTTACATAGTATAATATATAATATATGCACATAGGTAGCATAATGTGTAATAGATGGAATTATTCTATATACATATTAAGAACACTGGCTGTTCTTCCAAAAGACCGAAGTTTGAATCCCAGCACCCACATGGTGGCTAAAAACCATCTGTAACTCCAGTTCCAGGGGATCCGATGCTCTCTTCTGGCTTCCTTGGTTACTACACAACACTGGTGTGCATATCTGTCTGTCTGTCTGTTATCTATCTATCTATCTATCTATCTATCTATCTATACCGTCTATCTATCATCTATCTAATCTATCATCTATCTATCATCTATCTATCTATCTATCATCATCTATCATCTATCATCATCTATCTAATCATCTATCTGCAGGCATAACACTCATATATGTAAAAATAAATCAAAATTAAAAAAAAATTTCAAAAGGGAGGTCTACTCCTTGAGAGGTTGGATTACTGGTCTGATGTGTCTAGGCCTTATTTGAAACTACCATTTTGTTGTGGTTTCAAAAGTATATGTTTTCGCTGGGCATGGTGGTGCATGCCTTTAGTCACAGTACTCAGTACTCAGAGGCAGGGGCAGGCAGATCTTTGTGAGTTCAAGGCCAGTCTGGTCTACATTGTGAGTTCCAGGTCAGCTGGGGCTACTGGGAGACCCTTTCTCAAAAAGACCAAAAAAAAAAAAAAAAAAAAAAAAAAAAAAAAACCAAAAACCCCAAATAAAATAAAAAGTATATGTGTTCATCTATAAAGTAAACATACTTGTAATCATTTCTCAGCTCCAGATGCCTTTTCTAGGCATCCTGTAGGGTCTCCTCTAGCCTGTTCTTGAGCACAACCTTTACATCCATTGTCTATTCTGACTTCCCTAATTTTCTTCTCAGGGTTTCTATATTGAAACTTCTGGCTTAGATATCCTTGTGTTTCCTGCATTCAGGATTTTGTTGATCACTTCTTTGTAGTACACTTTAACATTTCTCTGTTCAGAGGGTGTTAGCTGTAGAAGGTGTTCAAATCCAGGGTGTTTTATGTGTTCTAGTTTGCTTACAATTGCTGTGACAAAACACTGATGAAAACCAACTTGGGGAGGAAAGTGTTCATTTGGCTTACAAACACAGTCCATCATCATAGGAAACCAAGTCAGGAACTTGGCAGGAACCTGGAATACAGACCGGGGTGGATAGCTGCTTACTGGCTTGCTCCCCTGGCTCATGCTCAACCTTCTTTCTTATATAACACTGGGCCACCACCCCAAGGGTGGCACCGCCGAGAATGGGCTAGGCCCTCCCTCAACAGTCAAGAAAATGCCCCACAGACATTTCCCCAGGCCAATCCAATAGAAACAGTTCCCACAATTGTTTCCAAGTGTGTCAAGTTGACATCTATTCAGCACTTTATGTTTTCAAGACTATGGGGGAGTGATATATTTTTCTAAAAGAAGATTTATTTTATTTTTAGTTACATATATATGTGTGTGTAGGGGTTATGTGCACATGAGCGTAGGAGTTTGTGGAGGGCAGAAGACAGCATTGGACCCCTGGAGCTAGAGTTATAGAAGATTGGGAGCTACTGAAAGTGCAGCCTTCATGAGACCTGTTCCTCCTGGCTGGAAATGGTTAGCAAGCATGAGTGGAGGGTAGTGGGGGGTGGGGGGGTGGCTGGGTAGAAACACAGGATAAAACAAAAGTTAATTAGAATAAAATGGAGTCAGTTTTGCTATTTCATTCCCCTCTGGTCTTAGGATAAAATCAAAGCACTGACTTACTATCCTCAGGTGACAGGGGATTGTACTGGGCTCACAGGTATAATAATTTAACAGAGGCTATTCATTGTTTGACAGAATTCAACATCCAGTCAATTAGGCAAGGCCCAATTATTAGACCAGGAGGAGGACTTGCTAGGACTGTAAAGACTTACTATGTCAGCCATGGCAATGGAACGAGGAACTGTTGGCCTCTCTCCTTTGGAACTTTTTTGATGTATACCAGATCTTTGGGATGGAATGGGTGGCAAGGTATAGAGGAGGGAACCAGGAATATGTCTTAGATTTTAGAATGGACTGTATCATGTACCTATTGGAGAAACTGGAGTTACTTTAAGAGAGAATGATTAATAATTTTTCAGAATAGGGTCCCTTAGTTTAGGCAGTAGGGAAAGCAGCCTCCTAACATAGTCTTATATGGGATTCATCTCTATAATCATCTCCCTATAATCTACCTTATAGGGATAATATCTAACCCAGAGGAGGACCAGGAGCAGGAGGTTGGGCCAGTTTTCACCAGTCTCTAAGATTAATGTAGAGAGAGTGGACTTAATAGTCTGATTCATGCATTCATGCATTCAACCTGTCCAATTTCTAAAAGCATTATTAATTCATAAGTTTTAATTTTATTCTGTGGAATGAATGTATTTTCCCTGTTGGAGTTTAAATTGTCCTGTTTTGGGCCAGTAGAACTCTCACTAATCTGGGTCTTGAAGCTTCCCCCAACCCCACTTTTTTTTTTTTTTTTTTTTAAAACAGGGTCTCACTATATATTGCTGGCTAGCCTGGAACTTATTACGTAGACCAGGCTGGCTTGGAACTCACGTAGATTTGCCTGCCTCTGCCTTCCCAGTGCTGGAACTACAGACTTGTGCCACCATGCCCTGCAAATCCAATTTTTAAAAGTTTTTTATTATAGCATAGAACCACAGTATAATAATTTTATTTACAACAGTGAAAGAATGTTTGTGAGCGAAGCTCTCAATTTTTTTCTCCCTTTGTTCAGTATTTTAATAATTTTGGAAGGAAGTACGATGGTTAAAATTGCTTGTCAATTTACATGATCTAGAATCACCTAAGAGACAGGCCTTTTGGCATGCCTGTGAGAGATTATGAGAGTAGGTTAATTAATATGGGAAGAATCACTGTGAATAGGAGTGGCACCATTCCATAGAATCATGTCTGAGCCTTAAACTGTAAGCCGAAACAAACTATTCCTTCTTTAAGTTGCTTTCATTAGGCTAGTTTATCACAATAAGAGAGAAGTAAGGCAGAAAACTGGTACCAGGATTAGGGTCATTTTTGTGATAAACTTAACCATGTGATTCATAGGTGTTCAGAGCTCATCTGTGGGAAGAATGTGGAAGAGCTTGTAACTTTAGACTAGAAAAACCCTCGAATACTGTAAGACATCTGGAGGTTCTATGAAGATATGAATACTGAGAGACAAGTGA